GAAACATATAATGCCAAACTTGATTATAATAACATACAAAGTCGATGAAAAACTTCGAGATCGAAAAATAACTTATAAATATTTGGTCGACTACTAAATTTATTCAAATTATAATTTCATTAAAATGCTATGATAGTTGATTACTAACAATTATAAGCACACACCTCGTTAGCTCAAGAAAGCACAAAACCTTAAACAATAACTAAATTATTAACAATTACATCTTAGTATTTTATGTCACTTTTTCTCTAACTAATAAACTTAAAAACTTCCATAACTTGCAATTTGCATACAACAATAAAAGTAACTTGTTATTCCAACAACGATACTTTGCTAAAACATGCACAAAAGCAATAGAAGGAAACACAAATCCGATACATTTTAGTGTATGTCACAATAGTTGTTCAGCTTAGACAAAATTGACCGTGCTTTAAAACCCTTATGTATAAACATATCGTTCCTTGTGCCTAAATCAAAGATGAACCCACATCTGTGCTTTGCTTTAGAACTATCAAAGATGAGGTTTTGTTATTCATTGTTTCTTTCTTCCGGTTTTATTCCTCACCGAAAAGGAATAATACCAAAGAAGAAAGGCTATGCGATTCATAAATATAATATTGGTATTGTGACGAAGCAACAACATGTAAATCGTTAGTAATCGATATATTCATCTTACACCATGAAACAATATAATATAAATACAAAAACTGTCTATAAAATCAAGAATAGAAATCATAAAAACTGTAAATAAAAATATGAAACTAACATAAGATTGAAGAGTTGTTGGACACGATAACGTGAACATAAAAAAACAAACAATAACCAAAACCGGTTAGAAACCATGACAATCATTATAACGTAATATATCAGAGTTATAGAAAGTAGGAAACCATAAAAATATCAAACCTCAAATAATAATAGAATAGCAAAATTATGATCTGCAATGTGAAGAGAAGAAAAGAGACATGTAATAAAAATTTAGGGTTTGAACTATACGAAAATTAGGAATATTTATTATATACACTAAGATAAATATAGAATATTAGCATAAATTTGAGTATATCAAATAATAAAAGAATATTATATAACTACAAATGGAATATACAAAATCTACATAAAAAATCTAAACTCAACGACAAAAAAAAAAAAAAAATATCAACCCAAGGTCATTAACACAAACCAATCGAATTAGTATTTATTTTGGCCCAAAAAGAAAAATATGATGACATCCATTGTAATTAAGTCGTTTCATTAAGGTTATTATCGGAAAAGCAAGTCTTAAACTTGCTGTAGAACCGCCACGTAGGAAAAGTGACTTCTCATTTATAAGTATAGATATAGATAAAGATTATGGACTAATTAACAAAAAGAAAAAACCATCATACTAAAATAGATAATATTTCTAAATTATTATATTACAAAATTACATTCTTTCCAATTCAAATTATTGAAATAATTAAAGATAAAAGGAGATGTTGTATTATAAGTTTCATTTTGCTAATATAATAACATATATGAGACAATTTTAGTATAATAAATATAATAAATTGACGATTTAATAAAATATAAAATGATATAATAATAAAATAAATATTACATATTTGTGTGAGTTATAATTTAGAATCTAATTACATGTCAAATTATAGGCGTTATAAAATCAAAAATATTTACCGCAATGCATTTTTATATAAGCATGACACGTAGGCAAAATTATAACTCACGAGATCACGACATATTTTAAATAATAAGATTGGTCAGATGATTAATATATTAAAATTTAAAATTAATTAAGAAAAATAATATTTAAAATATAAGTAGTTGTCAAGTTACTAATCAAATAATAAAAAGTAAAATTTCTAATACTATCCATACTAATTAAGAAACAAAAATTAAGATAAAATATAAACATTACATAAGCCATAAAAGAAACAAATAATACATACAAAATAAAAATGATAGTATATAATTTAAAAAACGAATGATAAAAAATGTATATAAATTGGAAATAAAAAGTTATAAAGGTTATAGAAACCTCAATGTAAAAATTTAAGGATATACACAACTATACAAAAGTAAATTAAAAAAAAATCCATAAAAATACTTATCTTATCAAAATAGAGCTACAAAATGTCACAAAAAAAATATAAATTTTTTACTTATGATGCCATTGGTATTCTCCAATTGTATATATTGAAAATTATGTAAGTTAAAAAATAATAATATTATATTTACTATGAAGTTAATACTGTAAAAAGTTTGGCGAGTATAAATTTTTATGAGAAATAAAAAAATGACACTAATAAAATACAATTATCAATCATGTACTTATGTAATGGTTCACAACATTATTTGTAATTTTTATGAGGTAATTAACATAAATTTTACTCTTTCTGATTTAACTATATAGTATTGTATTAACTATATAGTATTTTAATTTTTTTATTTCTATCACAATATTCATAAATATTCGTAAATATTGTGTTATTAAGAATATTATATATATTTTTAAATTTGCATGATATTAGATTAAAACATGAGAATTATGATATAAAGTGATTTCTACTTTTTAATGGTGTTAGAATCTACGTTAAATAATATTTTAAAATTTAATTGGTTACTAATTAAAATTAAAATTTTTATTTTCTTTATTTTGATTGTATCCATCCGCGTATTCCTATTCTAGAATAATGGGAAATTTTGTAAGAAAAATGAATGATGGTGGAGTTGTGACTTATCATACAAGTAAATAATTTCTTAATGATATTCTATAACACCAAAAGATGAATTGTTTTAAAAGAAACGTGACCAATAAACTTACGAGTTACGACTATAGAAGACGTGAGGACAATAATTACGTGTCCACATGCATGATCAACCCAATCCTCACACTCATACACCGCCGGTTTAGCAAAACCGAATAACATTAAAAAATCTGATATTGCAATTTTTTTTTTTTTTCGTTTTCTAGTCTTAGCATTAGCAATAAAAATTTGAGCTACAAAAATTAAATAATTTCAAAGAAAATGGGAAGGAAAAGAAAAAAATCATCCAATTTTTCTGGATATAGTAACAATTATATAATATATTTCTATAATTACTGAATCAGCCGTTGAAAATATCAATTTTTATAATGTTGTATTTTTCTTTTAATTGAATGCAAAATTATATTCAAATCAAATCCGTTGTTACAATAAGAATTGATAGAATATACATGAATGGAATATGGATGAATGGAATTGAAAAAATAATGGAATAAATCTATTTCATTCATTCATTCCTCATCAAAATTGCAGAGAGATATTTTTTTTTGAATTTTTGTGTGGAATTGATTATTTTTGTGTAGGATAAGTGGAATGTTCATTCCATTCATTTTCTCACAAATGGAAATTTTTTGTTTGGAATAAGCGGAATGCTCTATTCCATTCATAAAAAAGGATATTCATTTGCACACTAAATGTTTCATTACCGTGTCAAAAGCCACAACTCCATCGCTTCTTGCAGCTCGGATGGAATTGATGCGGTTAATGATGGTCTTGTCGATAGTTTTAGGGAACTTGGTGTTTGGCCTGGTTCCCCATGTCTCCTTTCATGTATTTTTGTTTCTTTAAGGTGTAAGTAAACAAACTGAGGTATAATTTTTCAAGTTATGTAATATATTCGAAATTAATCAAGAAACTGTGATCAAGAGAGATTGATTACTAATTTCCTTTAATCCAATTTGGAAAGAACAAACAAGAAACCAAATAGCAATTACAATTTGCCTCTGTTGTATTCACCAAACTAATTCGAAAATTTTCTCACTGTACTTTGAGAAGAAACCTTCACTCTGATTCATCAGTTTTAGCAAAGCCTTTTAAGCAATGCCAACCAAAAAAGAAAGAATACTACTGTAGAATCATCATGGAAGAAATGGAAGTATTTACCTCAAAACCAAAAAACCTGAATTTGCTGAGCCTATGCGATGATGAATCCTTTTTTCCCTCAAGAGTTTGAAGCAGTATCAATGGC